GGCTTTGGGTCCCCACTCTCCCTCATTCACAATGATATGATTTTTTTGTTCCTTGATGCCTGTTTATCTGTGTTCTTATAGAATGTTGGTTCTCTGTGGTGTCATTGAGTATTAAGCAAGAAAGCACATTTGTAGTTAGCTAAATTTTGGATTGCTCTGGAATAGAGAACCTCATCTTTCTTCTACATTGGGGCTGATGGGTTTGAACTGTAGACCTTGTGGTTAGCAGCCTGTTGCTTAGTCTCTGAAACCACCAGGGTGCCTTAAAATGTTAGTAGACTATTTGTCTTAATTTCTTTTATCAGAGTGTGATGCTGATACAGTAAAATTAGGCTTTGGCCTTGTGACTGCCTGGACAGGTGATAGCGAGAAGCGTTTGGGAAAGGGTAGCTTGGCGCTGAGGGCTTCAGTAACTAGACCATCAGGCCCTTGCCGTCACCCTCGGAGAACTCCAGTATTAGCCAGTGCGTTTGGTTCTTGCCTTGCAGCCGCACAGCCTGGGCTGGGTGAGCTTGGGGAAGACGTATGATTGGAGCGACAAGGGAATATCCTCCATCTCACGGGCATCTTGTCTCAAAGCCTGAGACACCTCAACCTTGCTGGGTTCCTTCCGGAGGCCACAGACCGATGAGCTGCGTGGGCCTGGGGTGGAGTGGAGCCGCTCCGAGGATGACAGTCCCAGTCAGGGTTCCCGGGCCTTCAGGTGTTGCTCAGAGAGGAAATTCAGAATACGCTCTTGATCGCGCCTCTTTGTGACTAAGGGCTGCAGAATAGCATGAGCTGCTAATTAAAAAATAAAGAAAAGGAAAAAAGACCATTATTTTCTTGTAAAAGTAACTCACACTAATTAGATAAATTTGGGGTAAAAATACAGAAAGGCATAATGCTGGAAATCACCCGTAATTGCACTATTCAGAGATAATCACCACAGATGCTTTGTTGTCTCTGAGTGTTTTCATACCCGCGGTTCAGATCACTGTGCATCAGTGTTGATGTCTACGCTCTCCCGGCAGCATCGGGTCCCCCCTCCCTCGTTGAGAGCGCACTGCATGTTGTCCCTGTGGTCGGCGGTGGCTGTCTCATCAGCTCTGACTCAGGGTGACTTTGGGTACAGCAGACCGAAACACAATCGCGGCTCCCACGCCTGTCAATCTCTCTGAGGGTCTCTCTCACCCTGACCGGGCCCCCCCTTCACTAAACATGCCCTGATTGCGTGTCCTAAGCAGTGTCCTCAGTGCAGCCCTGTGACTGCTGGCTGAGCCTGCCTACCTCCCTCTTGGAGGCCGGAAGGTGGGGTGACTGCTCTGAGGGTCCTCAGAGCTCAACCTGTCCAAACTAGTGACAATCACACGCCCCAGATGCCTTGGTGGGTGGGGCGTTGGGGAGTGGGGAAGTGCTCAGCGTCTCAGTCTCACCTGAAAGGCCTGTGGTTTGCTCTCACCAGGTGCTCCCGGAGTGCAGATTAGACCTTCTGCTCCTGGGAAGAGTGACAGCCCTGGCGACCTCGTGGGGAGTTCCCCCCGTCCGGTGGGGTCGCTGCGAGTTGGAATCCACTAGTGGGTTTGGTTTGGGGTTTAGTTGGTGGACTGACGTGACCCTACTGGATGTGCAACTTGCCGTCCAAATTCAGTGTCAGCCGGCGAGGCTGCACCCTGCTCGTAAGACAAACTCGCCGATGACCAGTATTCTCATGCCTCCAAAAATTCCTAAACATTTTAAAGTTCTGTACTTCTCTTAAGACAGATTGGCAGCACAGAATAGGTGGCCGGCACTAGTCACGTCTACCTCCCTTTCTATAAGGAAACCAAGACCCAGAGAGAGGAAGGGCTGGCGTTGGGATTAGAAGCAGCCCGTCTCTGCTGCTGGCATTGGATAGATGGGGTGTGGCTTTAGCCTAGGCTAAGGGACAGTAGAGCCACCCTGAGGCCTGTTCTGCAGACCAGTTAGAACCCGGGTCACTGTTCTGCCCCTGCTGTGGGCAAGCGAATGACCCAGTGAGCTCTTCGGATGCTGAGCTGCACAGAGGGCAGGAGGAATTTGCGGATCTCTGCTGCGGCAGCGAGGAAACCAGCAGCACTGGGCCAAGGACCCTTGCAAGGCTGGAGGCCCGGGCTTCCTGTTGACTGTGCTTCCTGCTGACCGCTTTAGTCCTCGTGGTTTGGGTCACACTTTCCCTCTGCAGCCCAATTTTATCGTCCCAAAATGCGTGATGGCAACAACCAGATACCCTCGTTGAGAATACACTGTGGGATTACACTGTAGACACCTTGACTCTGGACCCTCCCTGCCAAGCAGGATCCCCCTCAAGAATCGATCTGTTCTCTGTAGCAGCCCTGCCTCTCAGCCTTCCCACTCACACAACTCACCAAGATCGTTGCTACTGAGAAAAAGTCGCTAGAAGAGGCTAGGTCCCTGAGGTTTCCACAGGAGGTGAGCTCAGTGGTTTGACCAAGTCACCACTCAAAACAAACTCGTTATTCTGACTCAGAGCAACCTTGTAGGACAGGTGAGAACTGCCCCTGTGGGTTTCTGAGAATGATTATTTATCAAGTAGAAAGCCTGGTCTTTCTCAATTTAGAGAAAGCGGGTGGTTTTGAACAGCTGACCTTGTGATTAGCAGCCTAACGCGTACACACTACGCCATCAGGGCTCCTCCAGTCACTGCAGTCAATAAAAGAGAATGTGGGAACACAGGAAGCTCTTGGGGTGACGGAGGGGAGTGCTTGGGGTCACTGAACTAGAACCTCAAGGCGGCACAGTAAAGCCGGCTTCCCGGGGACTTAATGCACTTGTTGTTTGTATGATAGGGCCAGCAGTGGCTGCATGAGGACCACTGTGAGCACGGGCAGGACGGTTCCAGGCAGGGTTTTGTTCCGTTGTCCATAGGGATGTGCGTTGTCCCTGTGAGCAGTGGGGCACTTAATGACCACAGACGTACCAGCCAGGAGTCTTTCCCTGCTGCGGACAGCATGTTTCCAAGTCCCCGCCTGTGTGTTTTCAGTGAGATTCTTATTTGTTACGGATAGTGCCCTTGCTAAGAGCCCCCTCCATCTAGGATCTGGGCCTCCCTCTTCATATTTAATGCTGCCGGGGATTTATGAATCACCTGATGGGGCTACTCTGGTTTTCACATCTCCCTCGCTTCCTCTCCTCTCACTTATTATGGGTCAGAGGCCCAGGCCACTACTTTTATATTTATTTTTCCCCAAAGCTTTATTTCAGAAACCTTTATTTCTCCATACTCCATGCTTGTCTCAACCCTGGCTCTTGCTCTCGGGGTTAAGTCAGCGCTGCTTTGGGTTGCAAGGGACAGAAATGCCCTCCTGCCAGCTCAAGGTCAGGGAGGACTTGGTGTGGGAATCTGCAGTAGAGTAGGGACAAAAGCCTGACAGGCTTCCTGGGAGCTGGAGGGAAAGGCTCACATGAACTGCCACGTGCCCCTGCTCGTCTCCCGCCTGTGTCTGTCTGTCTGTCCCCAACCAGGTTTCCTACTGCCTGCCTACATTTGTGTGTCTGAATTCTCATGTGAGACAGGGAGTAGGAGGGAAACATGGTGGCCAGCTGGTGACAGGTGCCCATTCCTGAATCAGCGAAGGGGAACAGAAGCCCTGGGACACACACACCGTTGCCTTCAGCTTAGGCGGTGGGTGCAAGCAGTTGGTAAAAAAGGGGTCATGGGTGGGGTCAGCTCTTCAAACACCTGTTATACACCTTTTCTTCTAATTTTTCAACAGGCAGGACTCTCAAGGAACCTTTACCTGTAACCTGCTTGCTTAGAACGATTGAAGTAGCTGCGATCTTGGTTGAAGAAAAGGTAAGGAAGTAAATCCTCCTCCTGGGACTCCATATTAGCATAACAAAGCAAATCCTATCCTCTTACACACTCTCTATGACTGAGGAGAATTGCCCTGTAGAATTTCCCAGGCTCTGAGACTCACCATTTCTTTCCTGGTAGCCGGTGGGTTCAAACCACTGACCTTTTGGGGATAGCAGCAGCTGGGCGCTGAACCATGACGCCACCAGGGCTGGCATCCACTGAACTGTCAGGGTTAGGATTCCAGCACATAGTTGGGGAGGGCACGAGGGGCACACAGGACAGTCCCTGACACCTGTGTTTGGGGAGGGTGGCTGCCCCTGTCATTCCTCAGGTATGCCCCGCACTCTGCAGTCCCTCCTGTGACTGGCCTGGGTCCCTTCATCCTTCAAAGCCGGTATAGCACATGCTGCCTCCTGGCAAGGAAGCCTTATCAGTGGCCGCCCCAGGCGGCAGTGGTTTTCCTGTGACACTTTCTCCTCCTCACCGGCTCAGGGGCTCTCCGCTGTCATTTCTCTCTCCTCTGCCTGCGTCATGGTCTGTTCCATGTCCCTTTGTCACACTGTGTCAGTTGTCCATTAGTTTGTTTGTCTCCAAATGTCCTGAGCTGTGGCTGGGGCATCCCAGAGGCTCTGTGAGCTCTTCTGGAATGAACACGTCCATCACCCCCTACTCCCCAGCCCCCCACTAGCCCGCAGGAGTGCCTGGGTGGTGAATGTGGTTAACAGGGTTGGGTGTTAGTGCAAAGGCTGGAGGTTTGAGTCTACCCAGAGGTGGCTCAAAAAGATCTGGCGATGACTTCGGAAAAACCAGCCGCCGAAAACCCGATGGACTCTGTCACATACAAGGTCACCGTGGATTAGAATCAACTTGGGGTGTGTGTGTGTGTGTGTGTGTGTGTGTGTGTGTGTGTGTAGCTCATCAGCTCCGATTGTGTGCACTTGTACCCCCACCACTCCATCCTTACAGGCTCGTACCATCGGTAATTTTAAGCAAATGTGTTCTTTGACCACCTACCAGAAATTTCATACCTTCTCTAAATTGTCCCTTTTTTTTTGTTTTTGTTTTTGGTTTGAAAGAAGCTAATGCAACGCTTTTGTGTTGGTGTCGGATGCTGCTTCTTCCTGGGCAGCTGAGCCCATGGGAAGGGCAGCAGGGCTGAAGCTGGAAACCGGGGACGGGAAGAGAGGGGAGGGGACTGGCCGAGCAGGGACCAGTAGCGGTGGGGCATGGCTCCCTTAGATCTCTGCTTCCCTGCGGATGGTGGTGGTTGAAGGGGTGACACAATGTTGGATGGCAGACAGCACCCCTGCCCCTCTGTGTCGTCCTGGCAGTCCTGGCTGCTTCTGTCAACAGACAGTTGCCCCTTCACCCACCTCCCTGCTCTAAACCTGCTTTGTTGACCGTCAGCAGGTTGCTGAAAGGATGCGGGTGACACTACCAGGGCTTGGACCAGCTTCATCGGGCTGTGTCTAATGATGTGCTTTCCTTCCGGGTCCTTTAAATAATTGCAAATGGTTCTCTCCGTCCAGGCAGCGGAGCACAGTGCTTGATTGCCATGTGGAGTTGTTCCGTTAAATCTGGTTTTTTTTAAGGCTCAACTTTTAATTAGAAAGCAGATTGTTGAATGACATTTGGATTTGTCCTTTGATGGAGAGATTGGAAATAGCCCTGCCATCCTGAGAACCAGGTTGGCGTACAGAAGGATGCGTGTTAACAGGAGTGGGATGGGCTGTCGGCACATCATGGTTTTCTTAAAATAAGCCTTCCTTGCTGGTCTTGTGGATGGGCCTTCCTGCAGCGAATGCTTTCCTGTGGGAGGTTCTAGCAGGGAATCCCCCTGGCAGCGTGGTCGTAGCAGTAGTAATTCCAGGCCGGACACCTACGGAATCTTGGAAAAACATCAGTGTTAACAAAGATGCAAGCGTGCTATGACGCTGGCAGTGGAGGAAGAGATCAGGCTGCACACTTTGTTCTAGTGTGATGGAAATACTCTTTTATGTTTTCTTACCTGTAGAGCTGGTGTCTGCATTCCTGAAAGTCATCATAGAAGCAGCCAACCTTTGCCCTGGCTGGGCTGCAGCTTAACTAGAGCTGGCACAGTGGCAGGGCATCTGAACACCCCAACAGGAGGAAGGAATGTGGGGCAGACCCCAAGCACTCATCAGTTCACATGACTTTACTGTTTTCTTTAACACTTATTATACCCTATGTAACGACCCCAAGGAGCCCTGGTGGTGTAGTGGGTTCGGACTGCAAGGTCAGGAGTTCAAATCTATCAGTTGCTCTATGGGTGAAACGTGAAACTGTGTGCTCCTGTGTTGGTTTACAGTCATGGAAGCCCTAAGGAGCACTCCCACTCTGTTCTGCAGGGTTCCTCTTGGTCGGAATGACGTTGTGGCCATGGGGTTTGGGTATAACAACCCTAAGGGGCAGTTCTTCTCTGTCTCGTGGGGTCACTGTGAGTTGAAAATCAATATGATGACACCTAACAGCAGCATAGCACCGAACAAATTAACAATATGGGGGTGTGTGTGTGAGAAAGAGCTAAATATTGGTACATAATGTAGTGTCTTATTCTCGATTTTATCTCTCCTATTCTAATAGCCATTGCAGTGGCACACAGAACTCAGACAAAATTCATGATTAAAGGGTTTATTAAGGAAGGTAACAAGGTGTAATGCCAGTGGGAAATGGTCAGGGTTGAGTTGTTCATCAGGACATGTTACAAAGTTGTGTCAAGTCTGCTAAACAATGCTCAGACATCTGACTACTCTGATATAAGCCTCAACCCAAAGGCATTCAGCTTAAGCTCCATGAATCAGCAAAGCCAGCTCCCTGAGTTAAGTGCTCAGAGGCCTCCCGCTCCAGTCAGGCTCAGTTTGAAGGCACTCAGCTCCACTTCCATGAATCAGTAAATCCAGCTTCCCCAATTAAGTGCCCAGAGGCATCCTACTCTGCAAGCCCGTCCGTCCATCACTGTGTTCCATGCTCTCCTCCTGGTTCTGCTGCTGCTCCTCTGATGGCATAGCTGTCTCCTGGATCCAGGAGGGTCACTCCAGAGGGATCCCAGGGCCCATGAGACTCACTGCACTCTTGGCTCTTGCTGGTAAAGAGATCCCATCCCGAGTTTCAAAGAGGACTCATTTTATACACTGTTTTTCCAACTCCAGAACTTTCTAATAGGATCCTTTTCAGAGCAATTAGTACTGGTAGCAGAGTAGTGTCTAGTGCTTCTGGTCTCAGGGTTGTGGAGTTTGATGTTTGCATGCTCCATTAGTCCAATGGACTAATTGTTCTCATGTATATTTCAATTTTCATCCTGTCTTCCTCTCTGTGTAGGGAGAGACCAATAGTTGCATGACTTCTAGGAGCTTTTAAGACGCCAGTTGCTACTCGCCAAAGTAGGATGTAGAGCATTCGGAGAAGGCGATACTAGTACAATGTGATGAGTGCTACAGGGGAGTTTATTACCGGGTGTCGTGGGGCACAAAGTCTCCTTCACTCATCTTGGGGACTGGGAAGTCACAAAATGTCTTTCACAAATATGTGATCCTGGAGATAGGTTTTGAAGGAGTTTGCCCAGCAGAAGGTATGATTGGGAGAAGAAGGTGTAAAAGGGCATCCAGACAGGGCATATGGGGGTCTTTAAGGGTTCCCCGGAATGGCAGTGATCTGATTCAAAACTCCATTGACTTCCAAGTTTAAGGTATGAGTACGGGCTAGCTAACAGCCATCACCATGGCATTCATTATTTTAGAAGTTACTCCACTGTGATTGGTGTTGAGTTGGTGTCCCACTGGGGTTCTTGGATGACTCTTTAAAAATTTTACTGGGCATGAGGCTACCTCACCAAGCTCAGCACTAACATGCTTGAGGCTCCTACTAAGCTATGCCTAAGAAACCATGGCACCAGCATTTCAAGTACCAACAGGCACTCATAGTTGATAGGCTTCAGTGGAGTTTCTTGACTAACCCAGAGTAGGAAGCAAGGTCTGGTCTTCAGCTTCGGAAAAGTAGCCAATGAAAACCCTAGGTCTACTGGCATTCTCTCCCCTGTTATCTTCAGACCTCTGCTCTTCAATCAGACTGCCTTCTCTAAGGCCGTCTCAGACAACCTTCTCCCACGACTTATAGCAGCCTCCCACGACTCGGTGTCACCTTAGAGTGCTGTATCTTTCTTCCTAGGACTTGACTCTTTAATGAATGACCTGTTTATCTGTCTTGTTGCCTGTCTCCTTGAACTCAAATGTGAGTTCCATGTGAACAGAACTGTGCTTTGCTCATGATTGTACCCCTGTCCATAAGGTAGTGCCTAGCCCATAGAGGGTGCCGGGGACTCGGTGAATCAGTGAGTAATCAGATGGATCAGCCAACAATCAGTCTCTGCATTGACAACACAATGACTCTGCCTCTGGAGTGCAGCGTGTACGTGTCCAGGAAGTGTTGGAATGAATGAATTGTTGAGTGAGGTTACCTGTGTATGTTTAGGAAGTCCCCAGCACTTAGGTGTTCAGTATTTATTAAATAAGCAAATGGATGAGAGTGCTGGCTGCCTCTTTTGAAGACACGCCCCCTAGATGGGGTCAGTTCCGAGGACTTTTATTTGACAAAGCCCAAAGTTGCTTCCTTTGGCGCGGTAGTTATTCTTGTTCAATAGCTAGATCCAGTCAGTCTCTCAGTATGTCTGCTGTCAGCCTGGCGCTGTAATTACTTCTCTGTAATTTAGCTTAGAGATGAATTTTTCATTTGAAAGATGCTATAAACAACCAGCTCTTGTGATATCTGGGTTGTTAATGAAGCTCGTGCCTGCAAGAACAAGAGGACTTCGTTACACTTCAGGAAAGATGGGGCTGTGAGTCCACATCTGGCCACAGAGCCACGAGGACAGGCTGGCAAGTCTGCAGGGCGCACTCAGGTGGGCCTGTGGGTGTCAGAGCCACGGCGTGGGTGCAGCGCAGCTTCCCAGAGGGCCATGTTTCCCCCGTGGATTTTGGGGG